CAGGTGAGGCCCATCACTTCACCACTTTTGCCGAGTAGTTACATACACAGGTTCAGTTAGCAGATGGGACACATGCCCCTATTGTTAGTAGGGGTACAGTCCGCCTCCCAAATGGCCTTACATTACGTTCGATTTTTCATGCGCCAAAGTTAGCCATGAATCTATTATCTGTACATCAGTTAGCCAGAGATTTTCACTGTGCGGTTGTATTCTTATCTGATTCGTGTTATTTGCAGGACCTGAGTACCAGGAGGATTATTATCAAGGGACATGAGAAAGATGGACTGTATTATCTTGGCAATCCATCTCCAGTTTCACCAATTCCTTCACCTGCACCTGCTTTGTCTTTTTCTGTTCCTAGCTTGCATGCTAGTATTTTACCTAGTAGTTGTCGTTATGATTTTTCGTCACAAACTGTTCAATTGTGGCATGACCGTTTTGGACATACAAATTTTAAATATTTATGTATGTTGTTTCCTGCTTTGAGTAATGCTTGTGTTGGTGGTAAACTTGATTGCGTTATCTGTTCCCTATCAAAACATGTTAGGGCCAATTATATTCCTCGCATGCACCAGTCACCCAAGCCATTTGACCTAATACACTCTGATATTTGGGGACCCTCTCCCGTTACTGCTCTGTCAGGTGCCAGATATTATGTGACATTTATAGATGATCATACCCGTTGTACTTGGGTCTACCTTTTGCATAGGAAGTCTGATGTGCTCCCTATAATCACTCAGTTTTTACAGATGATTAAGACACAATTCGATGTCATTGTTCGTGCTCTTCGTTCGGATAATGCCAAAGAATATGTGTCTGATGCTTTAGTGTCTCACCTTTCTTCTCAGGGTATCCTTCAGCAACTCACTTGTCCATATACTCCTGAGCAAAATGGTGTTGCTGAGAGAAAAAATAGGAGTTTGATAGGGATGGTACGTTGTCTGCTTAGAGGCATGAGGGTACCAAAATCTTATTGGCATTTTGCTGTTTTGACTTCTACCTTTCTGTGCAATCGTACGCCGAGTCGTGTTCTTCAGCATAAGGCTCCCTTACAGGTCTTATTTCCTGAGCGGACACTTTTTTCGGTCCCCCTCGTGTTTTTGGATGCACATGTTTTGTTCAGAATCAGTCTCCTACTCGTCATAAACTTGATGATAAAGCGATTTGTTGTAACTTTGTGGGCTATTGTCATCAATCTAAGGGGTATCGGTGTTATGATCCTATTAAGNCAGTTAGCCAGAGATTTTCACTGTGCGGTTGTATTCTTATCTGATTCGTGTTATTTGCAGGACCTGAGTACCAGGAGGATTATTATCAGGGGACATGAGAAAGATGAACTGTATTATCTTGGCAATCCACCTTCAGTTTCACCAATTCCTCCACCTACATCATCTGCACCTGCTTTGCCTTTTTCTGTTCCTAACTTGCATGCTAGTATTTTACCTAGTAGTTGTCGTTATGATTTTTCGTCACAAACTGTTCAATTGTGGCATGACCGTTTTGGACATACAAATTTTAAATATTTATGTATGTTGTTTCCTGCTTTGAGTAATGCTTGTGTTGGTGGTAAACTTGATTGCGTTATCTGTTCCCTATCAAAACATGTTAGGGCCAATTATATTCCTCGCATGCACCAGTCACCCAAGCCATTTGACCTAATACACTCTGATATTTGGGGACCCTCTCCCGTTACTGCTCTGTCAGGTGCCAGATATTATGTGACATTTATAGATGATCATACCCGTTGTACTTGGGTCTACCTTTTGCATAGGAAGTCTGATGTGCTCCCTATAATCACTCAGTTTTTACAGATGATTAAGACACAATTCGATGTCATTGTTCGTGCTCTTCGTTCGGATAATGCCAAAGAATATGTGTCTGATGCTTTAGTGTCTCACCTTTCTTCTCAGGGTATCCTTCAGCAACTCACTTGTCCATATACTCCTGAGCAAAATGGTGTTGCTGAGAGGAAAAATAGGAGTTTGATAGGGATGGTACGTTGTCTGCTTAGAGGCATGAGGGTACCAAAATCTTATTGGCATTTTGCTGTTTTGACTTCTACCTTTCTGTGCAATCGTACGCCGAGTCGTGTTCTTCAGCATAAGGCTCCCTTACAGGTCTTATTTCCTGAGCGGACACTTTTTCCGGTCCCCCCTCGTGTTTTTGGATGCACATGTTTTGTTCAGGATCGGTCTCCTACTCGTCATAAACTTGATGATAAAGCGATTCGTTGTATCTTTGTGGGCTATTGTCATCAATCTAAGGGGTATCGATGTTATGATCCTATTAGGCGTCGTATGTATCACAGTCTAGATGTTACCTTTCTTGAGCATATTCCTTATTTTCCTCCCAGTCCTGTGTCTACCCCTCCAGTTGATGATACTCCCTTTGATTTTCCATTACCACAGGAGTCAAAGTCATTGGTCATTCTCCCTCCAGAGCCACTCATCTCTGTCAGTACAGAGTTACCAGTCTCTCTTCCTTTGCAGGTGTATGCTCGTTGTCCTCGCTCTCATCACCCTGCTGATATCCCCTCTACCTCAGGCGATGCAGGTAATACTTCTCAGTTTGTTNTCATCCCTGTCAGTACAGAGTTACCAGTCTCTCTTCCTTTGCAAGTGCATGCTCGTTGTCCTCGCTCTCATCACCCTGCTGATATCCCCTCTACCTCAGGCGATGCAGGTAATACTTCTCAGTTTGTTGAGCATATTGATGCACCTGTTGTTAGTACTGATGAGATTGCAGGTGCTGAGCCAATTCATTTACCTAATGAGACATTATCAGTGGAGGAGTATGATTTAGGACGTCGTTATCCGCGGCGTGATCGCCGTCCAGTTGATCGTTATGGTTAGACCGCCAGGATTTTATATCCGATCTCTGCTTATGTTTCTTATGGTGATCTGTCTCCCATATTTCGAGCTTATACTATAGCCTTATCAGATACGCTGGTTCCTCGCTCTATTTTGGAGGCTATGCGAGAGCCCTAATGGGTTCTTGCCATGCAAACAGAGATGGACGTTCTTCAGCGTAATCATACATGGGATCTTATCTCCTTACCTTCAGGGGTGAAGCCTGTTGGCTGTCGCTGGGTTTACACCCTGAAGTTTCTTGCGGATGGTACTATTGATCGTTACAAGGCTAGACTTGTGGCGAAGGGCTTTACTCAGGTACCAGGTCGTGATTTTGGTGCTACATTTGCCCCTGTGGCAAAATTGACTATTGTTTAGTTGATTATTTATCTGTCTGCAGAGTACTCTTGGCCTCTTCATCAATTAGATGTGAAGAATGCGTTTCTTCACGGTGATCTGGACAAGATTATTTATATGGATGCACCACCGGGTTTTCGTGGTGAGGGGGAGTATGCTGGAAAGGTATGTCGACTGCGTAAGTCTCTTTATGGACTGAAACAGTCGCCACGAGCCTGGTTCTCTCGCTTCAGTGATGTAGTCATACGATTGGGGTTCACCAGGTGTCATTCTGATCATACTTGCTTTATTCGACGGAACACTTCTGGACAATGTGTCATCCTTCTGGTATATGTTTATGATATTATTATTACTGGTGATGATGTTTCTAGGACTGCACAGGTCAAGATAGACCTTGGGAAAGCCTTTGATGTGAAGGACCTTGGATTTCTGCGATACTTTCTTTGGATTGAGGTTACCCGTAACGGCAAAGGGTGTTGTTCTTTCTCATAGAAAATATGTTTTGAATCTTCTTTCAGACACTGGGATGTTAGGATGCAAACCGGCATCATCACCCATGATTCCAAATTTGAAGCTTACAGCTGAAGGTGAGGAGTTGAAAGATCCGACAGTTTATCAAAGATTGGTAGGTAGACTTATCTACTTAGCCAATACTAGGCCGGACATTTCATTCGCAGTCAGCCGAGTTAGTCAGTTCATGCATAGGCCATGTCAGCCTCATCTTGATGCAGTTTATCATATTCTTCGGTACCTCAAGTCTTGTCCTGGACTTGGGTTGTTTTATGCATCAGGATCTTAGACCGGTTCTCTAGCCTGTTATTCAAATTCAGATTATGGAGGAGCATGTAATGGTCGATCTACTACGGGCTTTTGTGCTNATGTCAGCCTCATCTTGATGCAGTTTATCATATTCTTCGGTACCTCAAGTCTTGTCCTGGACTTGGGTTGTTTTATGCATCAGGATCTCAGACCGGTTCTCTAGCCTGTTATTCAGATTCAGATTATGGGGGAGCATGTGATGGTCGATCTACTACGGGTTTCTGTGCTTTTCGAGGGACTCATCTTATCTCTTGGAAGAGCAAGAAGCAGGCAGTTGTCTCCCGCTCGTCAGCAGAGGCAGAGTATCGAGCACTGGCACTTGGCACGTATGAGATTATCTAGCTACGATCGATTTTTGGCGAGTTGGATTTTTCAGTGACCTCTCCATCCACATTATATTGTGATAATCGATCTGTTATTCAGCTCGCTTCTGACTCTGTACTACATGAGAGGACGAAGCATATAGAGATCGATGTTCACTTTCTTCGGGAGAAGGTTAACAGTGGTATTGTCACTCCATCGTTTGTGGGGACCAGTGATCAGGTTACGAATGTTTTTACCAAACCTATCACTCTATCTATTCTTCGGGACTCCGTTGTCAAGCTTGGCTTAGTTGACATTTTTGCGCCTAGCTTGAGGGGGAGTGTTGGAGATATAGCAGCAACCTAGTTTATTAGGGTTTTTATTAAATTTTTCTTTTTTACCTTTTTGTCCTTATTGTAACTCTCATTGACTATATATACGGGGGCTCTACACTTAGTTTGTATCTCTTTCACTCACATTTATTTCAAGTTGATCTCACCATTGTCTTAGAGGATGTAGATCCTCTAAGTGTTGTTTATCATAACAAGGCTTTCTCTCAGTGACCTGAGGGTGTACTTGAACCCTAAGTAATTTTCCCAAAAAGTCTTCCTTGTCAGTCATTGATACCTCTGAAAAAGAAGGTACCATGTAACTTGAATGACCTGACCTACTATGTTGTCTGTCTGTGCAGTGTGATTACAGTCCCATGCTAGGTCCATCAAGGATAATTATGGATTCTCAAGGTGAGTGGTGGTTTTCGTCCCTTCCAAGGTCGAACGCTGTCACATTTATTACCCTGGGAAGATCGGGTTTTTTGAGGTAGCATTCCAGGTCGACCTTAGGTTTATTTTGCATCCTTTTATTAGTTATTCCCCCATGGATGGGCCCTACTGGTGGGAATACTTTCTCTCCTACCATTCTCGAGTTCTTCCATTTTACTTCACTAAAAGGGTTGGTTTGCCTAACCTCGTCTTCAAAACCCCTTCTCTCATAAGCATTGGAAGGAGTGTTTTTCCTTTGTATCCGGGGATGCTTGGGAGTTCAGGGGGAAGGTCGATGAGAGTCTCCAGGTCCCTCGACTCTGGTCTCTGCCACTAATTTGCGTAAGTTTGCCCTCTGTTCATCTTAGTTGAGGCTTATGCTGGAAGAGCCTAATTGCTGACCTATTGTGGCTTTTGTCTGTAGGGTTCATGCCTCAACTAATCAAGTTTGAGGAGGCTCACATCAGCAGAAGCGAGGAGCATGATGTTAAGCTTTCGTCTGAACTTGTTACTCCCGAGATACTTGCTAAGTATCAGCTTGGTTTAGCTGCTGAAAATCCTCTTTCTGGTGAGTGACTAAGCCCTTTTGCTTTGTGGTTATCCTTTCCTCTTCTTTCTTTTTTATGCGTAATGCTTGCACTTGTACTTGTCTTTTCAACTCCTGTTGGGATGGACCCAAGCAGGAGTTCTCTGAAAAGGGCTATGGAGTCAAGGAAAGAAAGTGAAAAGGAAGGGGTGGTGAAGCCCTCCAAGCGCTTCAGACGCTTGGTAAAGGGCCAAAAGAAGCCCGAGGTTGGAACTTCAACTCTTGGTACTGGGGTGTCTGATCCCCCTCCTGCTAAATTGGTCGATCCTCACGCTGAGCCGATCCATCTTGACTGCTCCATCACTACCGAGGGAGATCCTTTTTAAACTGACCTAAAGAAGTAGACAAGACTTTACCCCTCGTGGCTTAGAAACTAAGGAGCATAGGGAGCTAATACAGCCTCTTTTCAACGGGGTTCTAGCGAGTCAGTCAGGGACTTGGATTCTTTATTGTGCAGCTGTCTTTGGCAACTCATCAGTTTTTGTCTGTGCTCTCCAAGCCTGATCTCCTTTAGGCGAATAAGTGTAGTGCTGGAGACATGGCCAAGGTTGTTTTTCATGGCCTTGTTGAGGTACTACTCCATCCCTATCTNATAATCGATCTGTTATTCAGCTCGCTTCTGACTCTGTACTACATGAGAGGACGAAGCATATAGAGATCGATGTTCACTTTCTTCGGGAGAAGGTTAACAGTGGTATTGTCACTCCATCGTTTGTGGGGACCAGTGATCAGGTTACGAATGTTTTTACCAAACCTATCACTCTATCTATTCTTCGGGACTCCGTTGTCAAGCTTGGCTTAGTTGACATTTTTGCGCCTAGCTTGAGGGGGAGTGTTGGAGATACAACAGCAACCTAGTTTATTAGGGTTTTTATTAAATTTTCCTTTTTTACCTTTTTGTCCTTATTGTAACTCTCATTGACTATATATACGGGGGCTCTACACTTAGTTTGTATCTCTTTCACTCACATTTATTTCAAGTTGATCTCACCATTGTCTTAGAGGATGTAGATCCTCTAAGTGTTGTTTATCATAACAAGGCTTTCTCTCAGTGACCTGAGGGTGTACTTGAACCCTAAGTAATTTTCCCAAAAAGTCTTCCTTGTCAGTCATTGATACCTCTGAAAAAGAAGGTACCATGTAACTTGAATGACCTGACCTACTATGTTGTCTGTCTGTGCAGTGTGATTACAGTCCCATGCTAGGTCCATCAAGGATAATTATGGATTCTCAAGGTGAGTGGTGGTTTTCGTCCCTTCCAAGGTCGAACGCTNTGTCTGCGCAGTGTGATTACAGTCCCATGCTAGGTCCATCAAGGATAATTATGGATTCTCAAGGTGAGTGGTGGTTTTCGTCCCTCCAAGGACGAACGTTGTCACATTTATTACCCTGGGAAGATCGGGTTTTTTGAGGTAGCATTCCAGGTCGACCTTAGGTTTATTTTGCATCCTTTTATTAGTTATTCCCCCATGGATGGGCCCTACTGGTGGGAATACTTTCTCTCCTACCATTCTCGAGTTCTTCCATTTTACTTCACTAAAAGGGTTGGTTTGCCTAACCTCGTCTTCAAAACCCCTTCTCTCATAAGCATTGGAAGGAGTGTTTTTCCTTTGTATCCGGGGATGCTTGGGAGTTCAGGGGGAAGGTCGATGAGAGTCTCCAGGTCCCTCGACTCTGGTCTCTGCCACTAATTTGCGTAAGTTTGCCCTCTGTTCATCTTAGTTGAGGCTTATGCTGGAAGAGCCTAATTGCTGACCTATTGTGGCTTTTGTCTGTAGGGTTCATACCTCAACTAATCAAGTTTGAGGAGGCTCACATCAGCAGAAGCGAGGAGCATGATGTTAAGCTTTCGTCTGAACTTGTTACTCCCGAGATACTTGCTAAGTATCAGCTTGGTTTAGCTGCTGAAAATCCCCTTTCTGGTGAGTGACTAAGCCCTTTTGCTTTGTGGTTATCCTTTCCTCTTCTTTCTTTTTTATGCGTAATGCTTGCACTTGTACTTGTCTTTTCAACTCCTGTTGGGATGGACCCAAGCAGGAGTTCTCTGAAAAGGGCTATGGAGTGAAGGAAAGAAAGTGAAAAGGAAGGGGTGGTGAAGCCCTCCAAGCGCTTCAGACGCTTGGTAAAGGGCCAAAAGAAGCCCGAGGTTGGAACTTCAACTCTTGGTACTGGGGTGTCTGATCCCCCTCCTGCTAAATTGGTCGATCCTCACGCTGAGCCGATCCATCTTGACTGCTCCATCACTACCGAGGGAGATCCTTTTTAAACTGACCTAAAGAAGTAGACAAGACTTTACCCCTCGTGGCTTAGAAACTAAGGAGCATAGGGAGCTAATACAGCCTCTTTTCAACGGGGTTCAAGCGAGTCAGTCAGGGACTTGGATTCTTTATTGTGCAGCCTGTCTTTGGCTACTCATCAGTTTTTGTCTGTACTCTCCAAGCCTGATCTCCTTTAGGTGAATAAGTGTAGTGCTGGAGACATGGCCAAGGTTGTTTTTCATGGCCTTGTTGAGGTACTACTCCATCCCTATTTTCTCCTTTTAATTATCAAGATTTCAGGAAGTTTTTCTAAGTGATTCTCAAACTTTCCTTTGTGCAAACTGCTACTCATGTGAGCTCCCTTGCCATGTTGATTTAATCACTGGAAAAATAGTGGAATGACAGTGCAACTGATGCTAGAGCGACCAATGAGTTTCTCAAGAAATTGACCATCAAGCTAAACATCAGCTAGACGTCAGAGCTCAATCTGAAGGATCAGCACGACCAGAAGTAGTCCGAGCTTTCTGAGGCTGAGGCCAATTTGGCTGAGGCGATCCAAGCTGCTGAAAAGGCCGAGGTTGAGAAGACTAAGGTCGAGGAGGAAGCATCTCTTCTGAGGGAGCAGCTAGGGCAAGCAACCAAAAGTTCTCAAATTTAAAGGCCCACTTGCGTACGAATGTTGGTCATGTGAAGAAGTTCTAGGAGTCTAATCAGTATAAAGATTTTGTATCGGAGAGCTACATGGACGGGTACGAGGCCTTTAAAGCCCAATAGAAATAGAAGTATCCCAAGGAGTAGTATCCTCACTTCGACTTTGAGTCATTTGAGAACCCTGTTTCCTCAGTATAAAGATTTGGTATTGGAGAGCTACATGGATGGGTACGAGGCCTTTAAAGCCCAGGAGAAATAGAAGTATCCCAAGGAGTAGTATCCTGAATTCGACTTTGAGTCATTTGAGACCCCTGTTTCCTCATCTTCCTCGTCTAATGACGAAGAAGCTGAGAGGGATGTCGAGAAGAAAGTCAAGGATTAGACCGAGGAGCAGTCTTGAAGGCTAAAGTACCTCTTTCTCCCCCTTTTCTTTGTTGAAATCTTTGTAAAAAAAATTTAATGTAATGCAACTACTTTTTTTTCTAATAGAACCATCTTTTTTTTCCTCTTCTCCTGCCTTGTCTCTTCTTCCATTTTTTGTTCTAACTTTTGAAAATCCAGATCAGGACCTGAGGCAACTATAAAGTCCGGGGACTTGTAGGCGCATGTTTGCCCCCTCTCGCTTCTAGAAGGTCCTTTAATAGGCCTTGTAGAAGCAAGAATATTGCATGAACTGATTAGCTCAAATGGATGGAGTAACACTTGAAAAGTATTGATCCCGAGTTGAGTGGCTTTGGTAAGTGAGGATAGGGTCTATACAGGTCAGGTCTTCCTCTACTGGCATGAACTCTTCTATTCAATTCAAAGAGACTTGGAATTAATGTGAGTAAAAGGGATACAAACTAAATGTAGAGCCCCTGTATATATAGCCAATAAAAGTTACAATAAGAATAAAAAGGTAAAAAAAGAAAAACTTAATAAACCCTAATAAACTAAACTGTTATATCTCCAATACTCCCCCTCAAGCTAGGCACAAAAATGTCAACTATGACAATTTAGTCCCGAAGAATGGATTGAGTGACAAATTTGGTGAAAACATCCGCAACATGATCACTAGTCCCCACAAACGATGGAGTGACAATATCACTGTTAACCTTCTCCCGAAGAAAGTGAACATAGATCTCTATATGCTTTATCTTCTCGTATAATACAGAGTCAGAAGCGAGCTGAATAGCAGATCGATTATCACAATATAATATAGATGAAAAAGTCACTGGAAGTCCCAACTCACCAAGAATCGATCGTAGCTAGATAATCTCACATGTATCAAGTGTCAATGTCCGATACTCTACCTCTGCTGATGAGCGAGAGATAACTGACTGCTTTTTGCTCTTCCAAGAGATAGGATGAGTCCCTCGAAAAACACAGAAACCCGTAGTAGATCGACCGTCACATGCTCCCCTATAATCTGAATCTGAATAACAGGCTAGAGAACCAATCTGAGATCCTGATGCATAGAACAACCCAAGTCCAGGACAAGACTTGAGGTACCTAAGAATATGATAAACTGCATCCAGATGAGGCTGACATAGTCTGTGCATGAACTGACTAACTCGACCGNAGAGGGATGTCGAGAAGAAAGTCAAGGATTAGACCGAGGAGCAGTCTTGAAGGCTAAAGTACCTCTTTCTCCCCCTTTTCTTTGTTGAAATCTTTGTAAAAAAAATTTAATGTAATGCAACTACTTTTTTTTCTAATAGAACCATCTTTTTTTTCCTCTTCTCCTGCCTTGTCTCTTCTTCCATTTTTTGTTCTAACTTTTGAAAATCCAGATCAGGACCTGAGGCAACTATAAAGTCCGGGGACTTGTAGGCGCATGTTTGCCCCCTCTCGCTTCTTGAAGGTCCTTTAATAGGCCTTGTAGAAGCAAGAATATTGCATGAATTGATTAGCTCAAATGGATGGAGTAACACTTGAAAAGTATTGATCCCGAGTTGAGTGGCTTTGGTAAGTGAGGATAGGGTCTATACAGGTCAGGTCTTCCTCTACTGGCATGAACTCTTCTATTCAGTTCAAAGAGACTTGGAATTAATGTGAGTAAAAGGGATACAAACTAAATGTAGAGCCCCTGTATATATAGCCAATAAAAGTTACAATAAGAATAAAAAGGTAAAAAAAGAAAAACTTAATAAACCCTAATAAACTAAGCTGTTATATCTCGAACACTCTCCCTCAAGCTAGGCGCAAAAATGTCAACTAAACCAAGCTTGACAATTTAGTCCCGAAGAATGGATAGAGTGACAAGTTTGGTGAAAACATCCGCAACATGATCACTAGTCCCCACAAACAATGGAATGACAATATCACTGCTAACCTTCTCCCGAAGAAAGTGAACATAGATCTCTATATGCTTCATCTTCTCGTATAATACAGAGTCAGAAGCGAGCTGAATAGCAGATCGATTATCACAATATAAT